ATCAAAAAACCGTGGAAGTCGATATCGTGGCTATTAAATCGGAAATAGCGCCACCATTCGCCCGAAGGCCAACTTCTATATGGACTAATGGTTTTTTTTTACATATTATTGTTATAGGTTACTATCAATTTTATTGCTTAATAAATATATATATTCAATTAAATTATTACTATTTTTTGTTACTTATGCACAAAAAAATATATCTAAATCAAATAATAAACAAGATAGTTCTAGTGTCGTTATCCATTTGACCGCGTTATCAGTAGGCTCTTTGAGTTTTGTAATGCATTATAAATATAAATAGCATTTAATGTAATGTTGACATACGACTATATATAATTTTTAGCTTCGATGCAGAGCGGCGAAGGTATTGGTTTTAATCTGATGTGTGTTTTCTTTTTATCGGTATACACTGTAACTTTTTTAATACTCGACCAATTCCTTCAAGTATCAACTCTATAAATCACAAATTTCATCTAGTTAGTACTTTGAAGTCAGGGGAGGGGGAGGGGGGGTAAAAGTGGAAAAAGTTTACTTCTGTACAGTCGATATTTGAAAAAACAAAAAAAACTGTACGAGCTTTTAAATTTTACTGGCTATAATTTCAAGAAAAAGAGTCGGATCGAGTTGAAATTTATAAGGAATGTTTATTTGGTATGCCCGCACACGTCAGTTGTATCAAATTTAAATTATACTCATTTCCCGCCCCCTAGGGGGGTTTCATATTATTTTTGTTTTTTTAGTTTTTTAGACTTTTAAGACATGTAAGTTGAAAATTTGTCACAAGTTAGAACTCATATGTATTCATAACATATTAAACGGAAAGCAAGTTCGGCGCTACAGTTTTATTTTAGTTGCTGGAAAACTGTGTTTTCGCAGATTGCGTATTTATAAAAACACCTAATATCTTTAAAAAAAAAAATGTATCAAATCATTAAAACAATTTTATGTATATTTATGCAGAATGATACTAGATTTGTGCTCACGTACCACTTTTGACTTTAAGTGTACACAAATTCAATTTATTTTTTTTACTTAATTTCTTTCTGGCTGATTAAAATGTAGAACTGATATTAAAATTAGTAATCACCGACCCCAAAAACATATAAATTGACCTTCCTACTTGTCGAATTTTGTCACTAATGGAATGAGGTAATCCGAAATTATTGAGTTTTTATCAGCCTACTAAAATCGTCAAATGTGGTTTTGGAGAAATAAAACGTATAATTACAGACAAACGTGAGCTAATATTGTTATGTTATAAAAAACCAGTACAGTGGGTTCGGTGCATAATGGGGTAGGTCATAGGTTTACAGGAATTTTTAAATCTAAAAGTGATAAAATCACATTCGAAAAAACGCTTCGACGCAAATCGGTAGTTAGTATTTTCAAGCCAGTACAGTCCAAACCAAGCACAGTATAAACCTGCAAAGTTTGAAAGTATTAAATTGAGGTGCTGTATTTACAAATAAGCATTAAAGCGTTTATTTCAAAGTAATTTTATCACTTTAATTTATAAAAGTTCCTGTAAACCTGTGACCTCCCCGTCTCCACTATGCCCCGACTCCGCTGTACTGGTTTTTTTCTATACATTTATAAAACCAAATTCGAAAACTGACAATTGCCCTACATTTTTATAGTTGTCTTTGTAGAAACATGATAAAGCCTGGAGAAACAGGTCGCAGCCACGTTTATTCACCAACTCGATAAAGTTTTCTTTTTTAAAAGTAACAAAAATAAAAGTATCCCGTCAACCAATGAACATATCATTAATCTGACCGTTAACACTACCTGATTATTGATTATTTTTAATGTAGTTTAAACCAAATACACTCAAAGCATAAACCAGCACAGCAAGTAAGTACCAAAGTCAAGTCCAGTATCCACACTACCGCAGTGACCGCTAAATTAGCACAATCTACCATACTTAATCAAGAATTTTTTTTTACATTTAAATAATAATAATAAAAACTTTGAACGCCTTTCCAAATGCTTGGGTATTAACCTTACGGTGAAAAGTACAAACAACACATTATTAAAATATAGGTCACCTCAGTAAAACTTTGCATCTAAATCGTTTTGTTATTCATTCCGAGTTTTTCTTAAAAAAATAAATAAATAGAAATATACCTTCTAGCAAAAATACTAGCGTTAAAAACATATTTGATGTCTCTGTAAAATGTGTTTTGTATTGCCACGCAATTTATAACAATGATTCAGTCGATATGAACATTTGTAGGGCGCAGTTATATACTTGTGAAAAATAGTACGTTTCATACTAAAATAAATTAATATCAATTGTTTATAATATACCCACCTGTTTTTTTTTTTTTTGTAAAATTATTAAGTATATGTTAAAAAATGTTTTTGTTCCAAGTCTGGGTTATTGCACTATGCTGTCTTGACCGTTGTCAAACGTCGATTACATTGGAAACCTACCTTGAGGGACCAAACCAATTTGGGTTGGGACTCGAGTTGGGCCGAGTTGATTGAATGTGATAAATTCACTTTTTAAATAATTAATTAAAACTTTAAACTGGTACTTGAGAACTCAAAACTTACTGGAGCCACTCTAAATAGTATCCATAAAAATATTGGAATGATTTGATCATTTTTTTTTTTTTAAGATTTAACATGCTATGTATACATAAGTGTTCTAACTCCAGACAAATTTTGAACTAAAAGTCCCTAAAAACCCAAAAAACAACTTGCAACCCACCGCAAAGGGGTGGGAAATGGGTCTTACTAAATTTAAATCTCAAATAAATATTCCTCTCTAGAAATTTCAACCATTTTCCTTGAAATTATAGCCAGTAAATGTTGAAACTTATATACTAAGTATGGTACTTTTTTTAAATTTTAACTGTAAAGAAGTGAACTTTTCCAATTTTTACTCCCTTAAAGTTGCCAACTAGATAACATTTGCGATTTATAGAGTTGCTATCCGAAGGAATTAATCCAGTATTCAAAAAGTTGACATGTTGACCCTTACTCATTGCAATCTACAAACTTTCAACCATAAAAACGAAATTCCCCCCCCCTAAATTTTAAGGAAAGAAAACTTTTTTTTTTTAATTAGCCAAAACTGAACTATTGCTATAATCTCGAATTCATATGCTTCTATTCACCAGTAGTTAGAACCACGTGTCTTAAAAAAATACTAAGTAATGCTTCATTTTAAGAAATATTCCATCTTGTAGTGTTATTTAAATAGATAATGAAGTATACAATTTCGACTGGCCAAAAAATGCTTGTTTTCACCGAGATGTACCCACTTTTCTTGTGCAGGCAAAAATAATCAAATTTTTTGAACCTGTCTAAAAATGATATTCATATTTATCAGATAATAACTGGATATTTATCACTGTAATTATTTTCTGAGAGTTTGTGGAAAAACGGGAGGAATTTAATTTAAAATTTTGAAAACATAAAAAAATTATAATTAGTATCGCTTTGTCCTAAATTTTGTTTTTGTGATTTGATAATCAAACAAACCATATACTGTTACTTTTAATACGTCTATAGTGTTTAAAAAATGTACTTAAATAGCAACAATTGTGATAAAAAAATAAATTAGGATTAGAGTAAAGAAAATCGAAAGAATTTAAAATAATAGCATTATTCCAGTCACTAAGGTAAAAACTAATCACTAAAACAATTCCTTGTTGATAAAATCACTTTGTGAAAAAATGCATTAAATTGTTAATGTGATATTACCGCCGATAGTACATTTTATATATTAAAAAATATAAATAGGTATTGATAAAGAAACACTGTAAAGACAATGCACTTAAAATTAACCTATAAATATAACAAACCCAACGGCTAAATTTATTGTGCCAGTTTACCATTCTAAATATTTTATAAGCCGTAATGAGAAATGTGGCAATTATCTTTTTCTTTTTAGATTATTAATATATGGCTACAAGACAAAATGTGACAGTTTGTTATTATTTCACCAGTGTCATCTGGTTAAGAATTAATATCAAGTAGAATGTTAAAACGCCTCAAATCGAAATGAAACCGTCTTGATTTATTAGCTTAAGTATAAAAAAAACTGTAGCAGTATTTTTTTTAACCGAAAAACCCAAGAAATGTATTACAGAAAGGTTGTTTGGGTTAAACGTCAATACATGTCTGGCCGGATACAAGGGCATTTGTTCCCTTAACTATTTTTTTTCATCTACCTATTAAATTATGATAAAGACAATTTTGATCTGATATACCATTACATAAAAAAAGAAAATGTAGATAATACATTTTATAATTTGCACGCCAGGAACTAAAAGCACTTTTTAGACCCTTAGAAAAAGTTGTATGCCTTTCCAGTCGTTATTTTGCTAAATTCGTTTCTTGTGACAACATTTTGCACATCGATAAAGAAAACAAAATGATAAACCGTTGTCAAGCAAACACCCGATATTAATACAAGTGTATCTTCGAGTATAATACAAAAACATGTTATTCTACTATTTTCAATAAATCAAAATACACAAGAAAATTGATTGATTCATTAAGGACAAGACACTAGTTTTGTCTTAAACTAATCGCATTTTTGTAGCTTTTATAATAATTGGAGACACTCAAGTTGGTGTTATTTTACAATTTGATAAAACTACTACTATACATTTGCCTTTTCTATTCTTTTTTTCACAGCTCAGAATTTTAACAGAAGCCCACATCACAGTAAAGCCGCTCTGCATCGAAGCTAAAAATTATATATAGTCGTATGTCAACATTACATTAAATGCTATTTATATTTATAATGCATTACAAAACTCAAAGAGCCTACTGATAACGCGGTCAAATGGATAACGACACTAGAACTATCTTGTTTATTATTTGATTTAGATATATTTTTTTGTGCATAAGTAACAAAAAATAGTAATAATTTAATTGAATATATATATTTATTAAGCAATAAAATTGATAGTAACCTATAATAATAATATGTAAAAAAAAACCATTAATCCATATAGAAGTTGGCCTTCGGGCGAATGGTGGTGCTATTTCCGATTTAATAGCCACGATATCGACTTCCACGGTTTTTTGATGATGAAAGCTAGCGATACTTGAGCGGGTGCCTCCAAATATTTTAAATTAAAAGTCTACAAAAAAAAAAGTTTTTTTTAACAATGTCTAAAAAACATTCTTAGATCAATTATTTTACATTGTTAGGATGTGAACTGTGAACGCCAGTAATACGTATATACACTACCAGCCTTTGTTCAAATTGCAACAACTGCCACGATCGGCACGGTTTATTGGATTTATCTATTATCAAGTCCCAATCTTCATGATTGACTGAAACCTGAACAGTGTAACCGTAGGTATCGTTATTGTCATCCCAAAGCAGCATCCTATAAATAATGACAATACTAATATAATCTTAATCGTATTGCCACAGTTGACCTAAAATTATTTTTAAACATATTTCAGGCACAAAAAGTATTATAATTAAAAAATAGATACCAAAGTAAAAAGTGAATATTCTGTAAACGATTACCTCATTGAACTTAGCAAATACGGTTGGGCGAGTTGAACCTCTATATACCCCGAATTCACCTCGTGATATGTATATCCACGATCAAAAAACCAGTTTTTATTGTTGTCATACAAAATGTTGTTTTTAATCTTATCGAGCGAATTCTCCATTTCGTAGATAATCCAATTTGGAGTTCCTTTGGTTACAGCCGCATCCATAGATGTTAAAGCAACATTGTACTTTGGAGCTAATAGATTAAAATCAGTCAATTAGATATATGAGTTTTTTTTTAAATTATTCAAAGAACGAGTTATTTCCGTGTTGTCCTTACCAACTAATCCGTTTTTGATTTCCACCAAGTGCAATTTGTCCGTATTGTACATGACTTTTAAAATGTTAAAAGTAAAAGCCTTATTAAGGGATTTTTTGGTGCCAACAATACGGATGTATCTAACATATATTCGGTTAATCCACAAACGTTGAATTGACCAACAATCGTAATTTGAATGATCAATCACACGAAACCACCTAAACTTATCTATTGATACTTCAATGTAATAAGAGTCAATCCTAAAGAATTAAATAAGTCGATCAAATAAATGGTTGTATTTCTTTTTATAAATACGGATGGCAAAAAAGGAAAAATCCAGTATTTAAATAATTGTTTTGCAAAATAGTTTAAAAAAACTATTATAAGTCGGTGCAATTACAATTTTTTTTATCCATGAATAAATTAAATTAACAAATATTAAAATAAATCATGAAAAAAATAAATTTTAACCTTATTGGTATTCAAATAATATTATACTAAATCTTTGATTAGAATATTATTAAATAAAAACACACCAATAACATAATTCCATTTCGATATAGTTTATATTCATTGGATGATTCAACATGATCACGGTACCGCCGTCAATTTGAGTAAGCTCTATCGAATCTTCTTGAGCGAAATTCACATTTGGTACTAAAGAATAAAGTAGTAGTTACCAACATAGTTTGCCTAACATATTATATTGCCATTGAGCATACCTAATCGTCCTCGATCATTTAATACTTGTGTGAGGGACTTCTTTATGACATCTAAAATATTTCTATCCGAACAAACCGTCTCTGATCGCCTAACTTCAGACAGTTCTTTATCGTCCATAAGCTGATATCTGACGGCCGATAAAATGTCGATTTTATCGTTAGGACGAAGGTGGTCTTGGTTTTTTTTGATCCACTGACAAACCGCACGGAATATATCCAATTCGTTAGCACACGCCTTGGGACGACTGAGAATTATAATTAATGCTTCCTAAAAATTAATATTTCTGTCACAACTAGTCAGCTAACAAGAGCAATGCTGATTTTTTGCTATAAAATATAATTACGGCCGACAAAGATTGAGAATCTTCAGACTGCAATACGTCCAAAGCGTGTGCGTCGATAAAATTGATTGATGCGACTTCGAGTTCTTTGATTTGATAGTAAAATGCCACAACAAACAGTGCACTCACACTGTCAACATTGATGTTATTACACAAGTACTCGGACAGTGAAAATTGTAAGTTTGTAAAACGCCATATATTCGAGAGAATTAATAACTCCAAAATAACGTTACCCTAATTCATAAAAAATACATACCATATATAACTATATATATATATATTCGACAAATCCTTTTCTATAAAATATGTTTATATTCTAAATATATACATTACAAGTTACCTCTAGAACACTTAAATTCATTTTACCGAAATAAATATATTTAAGAAGTTCTTTAATTGATGTTGGTGATCCTGCCTCTATTGGCACCTCCTTTTGATAAGTTTCTATATGACCGTTACACAGTAATCCACTAAAAAAGGTATCGAATATTAGCATAAAAAAATGCATTGTATGTGCTACAACCAGTAAGGCACACTGTATGGGCTACTCAATTTACTTTCGTTTTGTTTGAGTATGTTAGATTATAATGAACAGCTATGTAATAAGTCATGCAATTAGTTTGCATAATTACTAAATCACTTGCTTACTTGTTTTACAAAAATATATTAATGTTGTCATAAATATGTATAAGTGGTAATGGTTCGTAGTATCAATTTATATCAAGCAAGTAAACTAAAACTTATAGATTACAAAACGGTAAAAAATCTTAAGGCAATCGATGTTGCTGTTTTTTCAAAAACATTTAGGTTGGTTGATTAGGAAATTAGTGAGCCTAACCTAACCGTAAAAATCAAAAAATATTCTTTTCTAAAAAATAGTGAAAAAGTAAAAACAAATTTTACCATTAGAACAATTTACCAATCAATCAAGAAAGAGAATAATATGCTTAATGATATTATTACCTGAAATAACTACTGCGTGAGGCTAACAGATCACGATGGGCGGGAAACCGTTCATTATCTACAACTAAAACAACATCCGAAAACCTAAAATAAATATTAAAATATATTAGGAATATACTTATAAATACTACAGATGAATAATAATTTATGTATAATGTTAAATCTTTAAAAATAATACAGAGAAATTCCAAAAATAAGTTTAGTTATAAACTGCTTGTGTTTTTTATATACTTAATACATTTTGTATTCATATTAAAGGGAGTGTTTCAGAGATA